GGGCCACCTGTCCCATGACCCTTCGGCCCGGGATCCTTGCATCGCCTTTGGCAGTCTGAGGCTGTGCTGAAGCATCGCCTTTTGCCTTTGTGGACCCTTTGTGGACCTATGTGGACCTCCAAAAGTGACAATGAGGTTGCAACCCACCAGCAAGCTGCGACTTTTGACTGTGCCGGGAACGCAAAAGGCCAGCTGCATGCTTGGCTGAAAATAGGTAGGCTCCTTTTTTTTGGCGTTGGAGCATTGTTGGGGTTGTTTCTTCCAAAGGGGATGCAAAAAGAACCTGTACATGTTTGTGCACCATTTTCCCTCCGGAAAATTGCCATTTGAGCCCTTTTGGGGGTCTCCTCCAATACTGTTGCTTTTTTCCGCGTAGACTATGACATGGCTTGACAATATGTTTGGTGGCCAAGCGTTGTAGGGATGGTCATGAAGCGCTCAGAGATTACCGACAACTGCGCGAGCCTTTGAGGCCTACACCGCGGGCGCGGCGCTGCATGACTTCGAGCTGCTGGGGGCCCCGGTTTCGGCGGTAAAAGTTGGGTGGGGAAAGGACCCCAGGAACCCCGAACCCCGCCGGGGTTTTGCGGCTTCATGAGTCGCCCCTCCAAGGGACATATGAGGTTTTCTGTGCCAAAACGTTTGCCTGAAAGCCTAGGTTGTGGGTTCCCCTGACCAATCTCCAACTTCTTGGATCATAAGTTGGAAACGATTGAACACCGGTAGGTCGTTTATGTGCAACGATTTCCTTCGCGGGTCTTCAGGCAAGTGGTTGGCAGCCTACGTTGTAGCCCATGATGGACAAGTCCCCCTTTGGTAACTGTTGCAAGCCGGTTGTATCCAAGAGGGATAACCGCTTGCCAAGTCGGCCGAACACCCAAGTTCCCTCTGTCAGAGGTTGCATGAAGAACTGAAATGGAGCCCTGCTGTTACTGGAAGCGAAGATAGTATCCCTTTCACACCTGGCACGTTGAGGGTATGTTGGCCCACTCGACATCCAAGATCCGCTTGGGCTTTTTACACGAAAACCTGAGAGGACGCCAACAAGCCTTTGCTTCAAGGGAGACCCAAGACGCAAACCAACCAGTCTTTGAGGTTCTGCTATTTTCGGAAGCACCCGACTTGGAAGGTTGGACACACAGGTTTCAGACAAGCCCAAGGTAGCTGCACAAATTGCGCACACACACACAAATGTTCACAAAAACTGCTCCCCCAGAAATCTCAAGAGAACGAATCCCACAAACGATTTCCAGTCTCAGCGGACCCCCAATCATGAACACTTCAAACAAAGGGTGATACTAGACCCTATTATCAGGCCTTTCAGCACTATTAGACCTTCTTAGGCTTGTTAGAGAGAAGATGGAGAGGGATAGCATATGAATGCAGCGCTTGGGCTGATCTCCAAGCCGGAAGGCAACTCAGAACATTTTAGCTCAGCCCCGGATGCAACCATTATTTTGGTGAGGGCCAAAGCCATATCTTTTATCCAAACATTTCGGTTTTTTTGCCTGGTCGGTGGCTGGATTTCCTTTTCATTTGACTGGCGAATCGATCCAATGGCCAGCACTGTGAAGACCTGAGGCCGCACCAGCCGCCTGCAGCGGTTCCTTGGCAGTCACTGGCGCGCAGGATGGAGTCCCCGAAAAGGATTTCTAGAGGTGCGAATCTGAATAAACCCGACATGGTGGACGTTTGGGAGAGGGGGGGGGGAGGGAGGGTCGTCCACCAACCACCTGTGAGGTGGTTCCAACTCTTATGATTCATAGCCACATGGAGCACCCTCAAAGATGGTTGGACATAAATCACCACATCATGTCCACCACGGGTCCCTAAATCAAAGGTCATGCCCCTCCGGGTGAAACACATCCGAGCGCACCGATTCGAAGGCAAAACGAGCTCCATGAAGCTCCCTGTAGCAAGTTGCCGACAGTCGCCTCCAGGAACGCGGTTTGGACCCTGAACCTTGGAGCCTTCGCCTGCGAAAAGACGAGTTTTTGGTTTGTGCTTCAAGATGTCAACAAAGAAACGGCAGAGTTTTGATGCGTTTATCGGATTCTGCTTGGTGTTTATAGGATTTGCTTTGAACCCAAAGAACCAACGGCCCTTCCCCCGAAAGGAGTTCGGTGCTCCTTGCGGTTATCCGGAAGATTTTCTGCAGATTATTTTTCGTGAGGTTCAGTCCAAATCGCCAGACTATCCACAAAAACCAAAGGACGAGCCTTGATTTTTCCCCACCATGTCCAGGGGGAGACAAGATAACTTTGACCGTGGCTCTCGGTCGTTTTGTGTGATGGCCCTTGGCTTGAGTTTCCTGTTTTTCTGGGAGGGTGGCTTTGGACTTGGTGCTGCGGTGATAGGAGGTGGTTGGTGCCTCGTCAAGGTTCCCCTGAGGTTGGCTGCCTGCTTGTTGACTTCTCCCACTTCTACTTTTGCTTCAAAGACTTGTCACATCCCGCCGCTGTTCATCCTGAGCTTTGTGCATTGGGTTTTTGACCTCTTCGTTTTGACTCCTGGGGCTATCTGGGTTTGAGCGGGGTTGAATGTGGTGAATGGAAGCCCAATCTGCTTGCGCAACATTGCCGCTGACGGGCACCCGCAGCGCCGGTTGCGACAGAAAAACCATATGAATGGGGGGCCAACCTACGCGTGAGGGGGGGGGGGCTATTGAGCAGTGCATTGTGGATGATGTGTCTGGGCTCTGTTCTAAAGCCGGAACAAGGCGCGAGGAAGAGTGCTGGGATTCGGGGAACATGCTGATTTTGGCAAGACGTTTTTGCCGAGGCACATGCAGAAGCGGATCGTGCGGTTTCTCAAGGCTGGGCTTTTTCGTCGGCGACATGTTTGTGATAAGTTAGGTTTAGTGAGATTTGGCAAGGCAAATCTCTGCAAGCGGGACAGCCGAGTAGTCGCAGGGATGGCACAAAGTGGGTGGCACAGGAATGTTATTTTCCAACATGATCGGCTCAAGCATGTCTGGTTCGCATGAAACCCTATGAGTACTTGGGTAAACTGCTTACCAACGCTGGCTCCTTGGACGAGGTTTGACCGAAGCTGTCAATTCGGGTCCCCGGCATGGAGAGCAGCGTGCTAAACGCCCACGAAAACCAAGAAGAATGATGTCAACAAGTGAGCGCCCGAAATGAATGGTCATACGGGTTCACAAGCAATCTCATACATCACCGTGGTTTTAAGAATGAGCCATCTGAAAAGTGGTGGACATGGACCCCCGCATAAATGATGTCCACCACACCCACGTTCAGCCTCTCGCCTTCTGCGACAGGCGAGCTCCCGCCGTGGTGGGAGACGATCCGAGCCGGGGCCCTCTGATGACGAGTCAGAAACTGCGTGGGTCCAGAAACGGGGACAACCCATATTTTGAAAGCCTTGTGTCAAAACCACGAGACTCCAAAACTGGTTGGCTCAGAGGTATTTTTTCTTGGGGGGCTCTTGTAAGTTGGTTATGACCTGAGTTACTTACACTTACAAAAGCCAAGCAGTTTCAAAAGGACCATCAACCTTCCTCACCCCGCCTCGCAGCGTCCGAATCCCGCGATGAAGAACCCCCGCTCCCCGCAAGCCTCCCCATAAGCCAGGCGTCACTGGATTTCCCCCTCACAAGCTACGATTTGCTGATTTACTGCCGGTTCCACTTTCCCATTTTATCGGAGATTGAGGACACCTGTAAGTTGTAAGCCCCCTGTTCCACCCAAATCCCTCTTGCGTCATGCCCCCAAGCCCCCGGCTTGTCGGTCTGAGGTGCCGGTCTCGCCGGAGAAGCCGGAGGCGAGACCGGCGAGCTGACCGGCTTTGCGTAAATCGAGCGCCCTGCGGTTGGTGTGGACTCTTTCAATATCTATTGTCAACAAATGGCATATGTTTCATATGTTTATAGATCCAGTACATCTATGGTTCGTTGTCTTCATCGTGTAAGCCTACCGCATTTTGGTCACCAACAGCTCTGAGGGTCAGGGCAAGGGTTTAGCTGACGCAGGTCCCGGTTTTCAAGTCCATCCATCCAGGTTGGAAACGTTTAGAATTGGATTGAATTCCATTGCTCTTGGAACAACGTGGAGCCATGCTAGGCTGCTACAGGTCAATGAATTGACATTGGTATTTTGGGTGGTGTGTTGAATCTTGAAGAGGAGTTGGGGCAGATCAAGACAATGAGTTTCAGGGCGCAAGTACGTGACTGAGGCGACAACAAATAGTGCACCTGCAAGTATCCGTGTGACTAGGCGAGTTTTTTTTTCCACATATCCGCTTGTTTTTCCAACATATCCGCTTGTTTTCCCTCTTTTAACTCTTTAGGGCGAAGCCAAGGGGGGCCCAGGCGCTCAGCCACCGTCTCCGCAAGGGATTCTGTTTTGTTCTCGGGTCGCAGTCACCCCTGTCATTCTGGTGTTGGGCCGGCCATGCGAAATTCCTCCGACGCCTATGGCCGTGGCTGTAAAACGCGTGTTGGGACCGATTTCAGCGACCAAGGGACACCCCTTTCAAATGCACAGCCAGACTTCCAGCGGGGCTTTTTCCTTTTTCCTTCCTTTGGGGGGGGGGGGTTCGGAGCACCGAACACAGATGCCCTTTCATTCTGCAATGGAAGCAGTTGCCGCAGTTTGGAGTCAAGGCCAGGCACCAATCGCCGCTCGCTTCGGAGAAGCCTTTTAGCAGAGGCGAGAGGTAGAGGGATGCAACAAAAAGGCAAGGAAGGGTCCGGGAATGGCAAGGTGACTTGGAAGGTGGGACCCCGCCTGATACCCGCTGGTTGTCGGACAAGGACAAGACAAGCATGTACTTCCCATGTAAAACCTGGCTTTTTCACAATATGCTGGCCAAGAAAAGCCCAAGTCTTTGGAGGGGATATATGATGTTCCCCAAAGGCTCCGGCAAACAACAATTCCACAAGTACACATTGGTCACCCATCCATCCTTTTCCTGGTGTTTTTGCCCCAGTGGGCAGACTCCTGAGAAGCTTCTCCCATCCCCGGCGTGAAGCCTTCGCCATGCTTCACAGCGCGGTCGCCCAGGCGCAGCTTTTTTTTGTTTTGAGGCGGGGCAGCTGAAGGTTGGCAGCCAAGGAGGGCTTGGGACATTGGCAGTTGTGTTGCTTTTGCGGACTGTTTTCTGGGATACTGCAGGGTTCACAGGACGGGGGACCGTACCCCCTTGCTCCAAGTCCCTGCTTTTGTCAGAGTATGTCATGGCAAACATACCCGACACGTATTTGGAGATTACGGGAGTGGGTGTTAGGGGATCTCAGGGTTCATAGGTTAATAACTTCCAAAGGGAAGATCACCAAATGCTCACTCCGGATTGACCCGGATGTTAATCAGTATTCCCTTGATCTACTCCCCCTACCTTCCCTGGTTTGGTGAAACTTCCCCCACGCCAACCCACTTCAAACCTGGTCCTTTGCTGTCCTTTCCAGCGAACTCAGACTGGGACTCAAAATTCTTCGTGGTTGTCATGGTAGTCGTCGTCGTGGTCGTCATGGTCGTCGCCGTTGCCGTTGTGCTGTGTTGTGGCAGTGGTGGTCTTGGTCATGGTCATGGTAGTGCATTTCCTACACGTCTTGCCACCTTGCCCTTGTACTTGTTTTCTTATTGCATTTATCATCGTTCTTTTGACATCTCGCAGTTGTTGTTGTTGTGGCAAATACTGTAGTGCCGGTGCTGGTGGTTCTGCTATTGCCGGCGTGGCTTCTTTGAAGGGTAAATGGGAAGCTGCCCCAAACCAGTAATCCAAATCACCAGGTAGGGCAAGCTGACTACAGGGACCCGACTGGCTTCCTGCCAGGGGCAGCTGGGTGTGAGTGAGACAACTCCTCCGTGAGGCCATCGTTTCAGAGCTGCCGGCGCGAGCGGCGCCGTCGCCCGCAGGCGCCGGGAAATGGATCTCAATCGTGAGGGGTTTCAAGTCTTTTTCTGTTTTGGATCAGGAAAGAGCTCAAACACTTCTTAGAGCACTCTGGCTGCTTGTGAATTGGCACTTGTGGAGATTCGCACTCAAGCTACTACTTGATTTGCCCAATGGAATCTTGAAGATCTCATTGCCGACCAAGGAATCGCAAACCACGGCTTCACGGCCCAAGGTTCAACCAGTAAAAGCAGCAACTTTTTGGAGTTGATTGCAAAACAGGTCGGGCTTCTGCAAGCAAAAGAAGGGTTTTGAGTCCGCCAAAGGTCAAGAAGGGGTCTTTCAGCCAGTGAAGCATCTCGCTTCTCTGCCGGTCTTCTTGGAAGGCACCCTTTGTTCGGTTGCTTTGATCGAAGTCAAAGAGACGCCCTTTTGGAGAAAAGCCGGCACAGTTTTGGTTGGTAGCTGGTCTCGTGGGCCAAAAGGTCTCCGGACGCCGCACATGTTTCGCGCCTTTGAGCGACAGGCCGGGCCCGGGCGCTTCCTGCCGAACGCCCGAGGCAGGCTTCCAAGGGGTGCACCGCATTCTAGGGCCCCCCCAAGAATGGTGGTTTTCCTTCTGGTTTCCATTTGAAAACCAACCAAAAGAGGGTTCCCCTAAAAAAGACAAGCCCACTTCCCAGGTTTTTGGGCTCCTGCTTCTTTTGAGTTGGGACCGTTTTAGTAAACAAGGAGCGAAGACCAAAACTTCACGGAAGCCCAAAGTTTTAGGCTCCCTGATGTGTCAAAATCGGGGCGCCACATGGCAGTTTTTGCTCTTGGTTTTGCTTTGAACCAACATAAGCAGGGTGCCGAGCCTCCAGAAACCGCATCAATCTACCGGCCTCTTCTTGGTTTGATTTCAACCCCCGGCTCAACAGGCGGAATATCCCGAGGGAAGCGCCAGACGCAGCACTTCAGGACACGCTCCGCCGCCCTTGCGGCGGTGCTTGCCGGTGCCCGATGCGGAGCTCGCTGGAGGCAGCGGTCTCTTTCCATGAGGTGCCTCCCCCCCGTTTGGCCTTATTAACTTATTCGCCTTGAACATCTTGGGTTGGCTCCCGGACTGATCAAACCATCAAACCGCAACCCATTGGGACTGGGCAGGCGAATAGCCCTTGGCGCCTCCCGCGACAGCGAGGGCCGGAAGATTTCGGAGCCTCCGACCTTCGATGCGAGCGACGCGAGCTCCGTGCTGTCGACGCACCTCGTGGAATTCCGGGAGAGGCCCTTCGGGGTGTTGGCGTATGCTCCGAGCACGCGGCTCGGCAGGGAGACATTTTATAGGGTTCCCCATATCTCCCCTGATCATTTTTGCTGGTTGCCAGTTTGAGGTGAGCTTACTTTTGCTGATTTTACAACATTGGGCACCATTCAGGTAGGTCGTTTCCGTTTGGTTTCCCCTGACAACCCATCCAAGAAGGGTCTCAGGCGCTTGGGTCCGGCTTTTCGATTCCAGGAGTGGTCGAGGCGCCATGGTCTGGGAGCTGGGAGCGGAGCGGTACCCGAATGACCCACAGGCAGCCTTTGCGGGAGGTTGGGAGGCACCCGTTTCACCTTGGTAAGGGACACCAAGAGCTTTTTGGGCCTCTCAGTTTGACAGACGTGTCGAACTCGCAGTGTCACGCCAAAGAATTACACAGTGGTCGTAGGATTCTTCTCCGAACACCGCCCAACTCCTCCCGGGAATATGGCCAAAAGGCAGGGAGAGCCCCTTTTGGGAAAGCGGCTCAGGCCTCAGAGTGTGTGAAATGAACTTCCGTTGCGAAGTGGCAAAACACCACAAGTAGAGTGGCTCCACCTTTCGTCCGTCCCAACGGAGGTCGATACGTGTGCCATGGACGCGAGTCGGAGTCAATCCCTAACACCCATGCCTCCATTGTTTGAAGTCATTTTTCTACAGGTTCACTCAATATGGATCAGGCTAGCAGGTTTGACTTGTTACAACAGGTGTTTGCTCGAGCTCAGGCCCGGATGCCACTCGCCCATGTATCCACGATCCCTTAGTTGTTGGTGACATGGACGTGGGTAAAAGCAACAAGTGTTGTACAGACCCTATGTCGAGCACCAGTGCTAGTTGCCGTTTTAGGCCTGTTTCAAGCAGGTTAGGGTGGGGCCCGCATGAATCATGAAGCTTTAACATGTTTCAGGCAACCCTCAAGTTGTTACAAGGGACCCCCCCTCCATCAATCCAAACCAAGCGGGAGACAAGTTGCTGGAGGTCAACCCTCCCTGCCAGGGCCGTGCCCGGCGGTGTGGGGTGCAGGAGGGCTTCATCGCCGCCCGGACGGAAGGGAGACGGAGACATTCGGCCGACGTCCTACGGAATTCCTCACAAGCCGTGGATTTGGTCTTTGCCCCAAGCTCTGGGGTGTTTCGGGGAAGCCTTCGGGGTGGAGAAGTCCGGGGCTGTTGGGGGGGGGGGGCGCTGTGAAAACAACGACCAAGCAGAACTTGGCGTTGTTCCAAGTCTCAGCTTCCTTCCAATTGGTGGTTGGTTTGGTGGTTTGGATGTTCAGGGGGTCCCATTTACCCTCACCAAAGATGTTCTCCTGATCTAAGCGACAAGTAACTGTTCTAGAGACTTGGTTTTGCTCTCAACTAAGGTTACTGTAAACCAGGGGCCATTTTTTTCCTCATGTTCTCTATCCCCTCAATTGGGCTGGGTTGGTTTCCTGGTTCTTGTGGGTCAATTGGAATCCACCCCCAACCACCAAACCAATCCAAGCTACCAATCAAAGGGAAGTGGAGTTTCGGGTTGAGGTCCTTGTTTTTGACCCCACTCTGCTTTTTAACCCCGCCTTTCTTTATTTTGACCTATGGGTTCGCAAGAGAAATGAACTGTCTCCTCTTCCTTTGCCGAGGTGCGGAAGATCAACGGCCAGGATGTGTCGGCCTGGGACTTCGACGACATCCTGGCGCCTCGGATTGGCCGGGGTTCAATCCGCGAGGGTCGAAGTTGGCTTATTCCCTATCGCCAGACGCAGGGCGCCCTTTTCTCAACTTTTTGCCCTTTCCTCCCCTTGCAACCAGCAAAAAGCTTAAGTGTTATCAGGGCGGAGGATCGGTGTGGGCCATCAAAGGAGATAAAACTGGTCCACGCGATGAAACCGCTCAAGAGGGAACTATGCGACCCCTGTGGAGATAAGCCATGAACGGGTCAGTTCACTTTTGGCCGCTGTTTCTGGCACAAACAGATCAGTTTAGTTGTTGGCTGTATGTTGTTTGTTGACTTCCCACAAGTGACATGTTGGACATGCGTGCTTTTAGCGTTTCCCACAGTAACATGTTGGGGGGCGCAGCCTTGTTTGCCAATCCCTTGAGAAGGTGCTGGCAGGAGTGCGGAAGGACCTTGGTTCAAGTCCTCATTTGGGTACGATGTGTCAAACTGGGGGAACCCCAACTGGTGGCTGTCCTGTTGATTTCCCTTCGAGCCACCAGACAAAGGTGCCCTCACAAAACACGCGTCCTTTTGGCCGCAAGTTTGGCCCAGGGTCCTGGCTCGAGCCGATGTGTCTTCTCATGGCATGGATCGGGAGTCCGATCTATCAACCGGGGAACAAGCCCACAACTTCCCCATGTCTGGGTAAAACCTTCGTAATTTTGACCATGACTCCCATCTGAGTTTGCCTCAACATAGGAATCAGACAAAACTGGCAGGTTTCTTCGAAGCTCTTTTCAAGTTCACCCCAAAAGCGCACCCTTCGCCTCGAAAAGTTACCTCCCTGATTTTGATTCCTCACAGCGGTTCGGGACGCAAAATGTTTGAGACTCAAGACGCCTGCTCCTAAGAAACGCTGGAATTATGACTCCCCTGTAAGCACCAACGAACAATGGTTTCCCATAGTTTCAAGTGGTGCAGGATGTTGTCCATCCACAGTAGGACGTGCTGGGCGACAAGACCTTGGACAACTCCAGCGGCAAGTTCCAGTGCCTCTCGCGGGGCTCGCGGAAGTCGTCGGCCGCGGAGCTGCCGGTGAGCCTCGAGCCGGGCGCCCGAGGAACGGGAATCCCCATCAAAACCGGGGGTCTCCTCCCAAACTAGGCTATGCTTAGGGTAGAATAGGGTAGATCTGAATCCGAATCTGAAAGTTCAGATGTTTCTGTAAGAGGATTTGCAGGTCTGCGTTGGCTTTGGGGATTCAAACGTCCAGTTCCTCTTGAGGAAGCTATAGGGTGCAACTGGGATCTCCTCCAAACTTATGATAGATTTTAGGTGAAACAGAATCTGAAATTAATTTTCTTTGTGCTCCCTCAGGTGGGCCAGGCAAAGGAGGCTCTTGGATGACCGCCCTCAGCAAGCGGTTCATATCTGGGACCCAAAAGGGGATACGAACCACTAGGTCTGGCGGTGCAAGTTCCTGAAAGGCAGTTCCCTACGCTATTTCGGGGCTCCCCGCGAAGGTTGGTGACCTGCCGTCCCACAACGGCGCCGTCGGTTTCAGCGCATGAAGCACCCTGTGAAGCGGCCGAAGCGGCGGTTTCAGCGCTGCGGTACCCTGGGCCTCGAGGCAGGGCGCGAAGTCCTCTTGAAGTCTCTGCCAAGATCAACGGAGCCCGGAGCAGCCCTGAGGTAGGGTTCCCGAGGGCTCTGGGGGTTCCATGTTGCGATTCCGGAAGGTTCTGGAAGGTTCTGGAAGGTTCCGGAAGGTTCCGGAAGGTTCCGGAAGGTTCCGGAAGGTTTGGGGATTGGGCTCGGAGGGGTTCATGGCGTGGAGCGGTTGTTGGATAGGGTTCCGAGGATGGTTCGGGATGGAGCTTTCCCAAGGGCTGTTGCGGATATCACTTGGGCTTAGAACGGCGGGGTTATAACCGGTGTCCTCTCAATTTATGTATGTTGGGGTAGACTCAATATGGACCAGAATCTGAACACTTGTATTTTGTGCATCCCAGGTTTGCGCCAAGATAACCCAACGAATCAAACCAAACCCCGAGTCTGAGATCGTTTTAAAGTTCCAACCGTCAAGTCAGACAACTCTCCTGCACAGGTCCCTGAAGAACTTCGTTGTTCATGGCTTGGTTTTCCCCATTCGGAGATTGGCCCTGGTGTCATTCCCGAGATATTGCAAGTATCCAGACGGTCAATCTATAATTCTTTGGGCAACTTGGCTCTTGGAAGTTCTCTTCCAGTCATTGAATCGTCTTTGCCCCTAAAAATTGGTGGAATTGCGCCGGTTTCTGTGTGGCAAAGGGAAGCAAAGCAGCGAAGGGGATGCGCCGATATTTTTCGCCTCATGTCTCTCTTCCCCCCTTCGAGGTGTGGACGACGCCTTTGTGGCGCAGCTGCTGCGAGTGCAGGGAGAGCACCCGGGAGAGGCAGCGGGCGATTCGGGGGAGATCGAGGAGTCGGGGTTGGAGTTGCGCCTGAGCCCGTTGTACGGGTTTCATATCCTATGTGGAGCCTCATGGCGTCACTCCCGCAAGATTGATTCGCTTTGCGGGTGTACCCTTGATGTTTCCAACCGAGAAATGACCAATATTCTTCCAACGATTAAATCGTATTTGTGTAGAAGCAGAAGGGGCAACAAGGGGATGCGAAGATATTTCGCCTCAGCATTGCCGGTGTATATCGCTTGCCGACTGAAAGCAAGCCGTAGGTGGTGTTCTCCTTGGAGGAGGCGATTCGCCTGGTGGAGGACACGGTTTTGAGATCTCAAAGCTCCAGAGCTTTTCCTTGCGCCTTTTCTGGGAAAGTTTCTTTAACATCCTCCTTATCTCCTGACTGCAAGTCCTATTGTCGAATGCAGGTGGCTCCAACCCACTCGAGAAGTGAGTAACGCCCATGTCTCCACTTGCAGAAGGGTTGCTTCACGGCCGAACCACATTTGGGAGAAAAAGTGGTGCCGGGGGGTTTTGGCTCCTCTTTTTCCCTTTCACCTATGACCACCCCCCTTTTCGGTTGCCAAACTTGATCCCGATACGGGGGAACGTGGCTGCGAGTTCGCACGGAACCTGGGGACATTCAAGGAAGCTCCACTACAAAATTCACCTTTTTTTGGGGCATGGGCGGCAGCCCTTTTGGTTTGGTCGGTTTCAGGGACATGTCGGGACTTGTAGGGGTAAATGGATGATGACGGAACCGTTGATGTTCAACTAGTGACCGGCGCAAGATTCGTAGGCATGCTGGTGGTGCAGGTTGTGGATGATGCTGGTGATGCTGTAGATGCTGGGGGGGGCCCAGGGGGACTATCCGGCGATGCTGATAATGCGGGGGATGCTGGAAAGACGAGACGCAGCTGCATCCGTGGAAGCCTTCGTATTTGCATGGCGGAATACCCTTTTCGTGGATTTTGTAATTTGATATCCCTTTTTGAATCTCTTTTTGGAATCATCCCTGCAGACTCCCCTTTCAAATCCCTAATTGTATCTCCATTTTTGAGAGACATCTCTTTTGGATCTGCTCTTGGTTGCGTTTGATCCCCAACAGCTGAAAGACTATGGGGTTCTTGCCCAGATATGGTCTGGAGTGAGCAGCCGAGCAGCTCCGATAGGCCCTATTGCAAATGAACCCACCATGTGAAAACCGCAAATCACGAAGAAAAAAGCACGGTGTCTCAGTTTCCTCGTTCCCTTACTTGCATATATGGCCGGGTCCTCCACTGTACCTTTTCACGGGTGTCCCTCAGCTTCCTCCTTTTTGGGACCTCCAAAAGCGGCAGTCTCACCGGACACCTTCCAACTTAGTAAATCCATTTTTTCCGTTTTCCGTCCTCTATTCCAAGGTGGAATCCAAGCACGTGGATTGGATCGACACCGAAGTCTCGCGTCTGCCGTAGGATGCAAAGCGCGTGTTCCAGGGCGAGGAGACCCTGCAGCGTGTCCAGCTGGACCAGGCGACGGAATCGCCTCCATGGGCCGATAGGTTGATTCATCGCTACCGATCAGCTTCATGTATGTTGGGCCCATCGAAAACAGATGGGGGTAGAAACGGTTGGTGGGTGAAGCTTGGTAGAACCAAACCACTCTTCGTTCCAAGTTGTAAACCACCCATTGAATGCATTGTTTCATTAGGTTTGGAGCCAACTTGAGACTTGGTACCCAAAGTAAATGGGTGAAGAGTCGGGCGCTGCTTGCCGGGGCAAAATGTGTAACCAGACCTCGCCTTGTTCAGCGGTTGAGGCAGCGTGGTTTGAACAACACATGAATGCGCCTGTTTCAGGCATCGTATACAAAACAAGATTTCGTCTTTTTCCTTGGGTTTCGCTGTAAAGGAAAAACTGTTCCTTTTAGCGATAATACAACGTTACAAAGTAATTTAGATATGCTTACTACTGGTTCTATAATATGTGATAAATTTAGCACTACACCTTCGCCAGATTTAGGATTACAAATGACATTTCAAATGTTTAATCGCGAGTTCAATATTAATAGAGATGGTAGAATGTGGATGAGTAGTGCAGGAGGTCAGTGGGAAACTCAAATAGGAGATGCTAATGTTGGTCGTGTGTGGGTAAAAGATAGACTTGGTTTAGGTGCTGTTGGTGTTGTTGGTTATAAATTAAATTGTGCTGGTCAAGCGAGATTTACTAACGCCGTCCAGTTTATAGGAACTGATAAAGCAGTAAGTCTTAATAATGGTTCATATTTGAATTTTGCTAATAATGGTTCTATTAGAAGATGTTTTTGGGGGCATATAGTTTTATCGCAACATGTTTCCACCGTTTGGCTCAAGCTTTTACACTCGTCGACTGTTTCTCGCCATTTCGTCGGAAAACGATCGCGTCGCTCTACGCGCCGGCTGCGCTGTGCCGCAGCCGTCGCTGCCGGGGTGGTGGTCCTGTTTCCGGAGGTGGGTCGGGTTTTGGTTGGAGTGGTTTGCTTTGCTTGCTCGCTTCGCTTCGCTGCATTGTTTGCCTGCTTGGTTTGCTGCTTTGTGCTTGCTTTCGCTTGTCTCTGCCCTTGCTGGGCTTCTTTACCTTGTTACAACTGGCACCCTGTTTTGGTTCGTGTTTGGCCAGCCGAGGGCACCACTTTGCCCTTGGGAGTGGGGGGTTTAAACAATCTCTTCTTGCTGGTGGGATTGGGCCTGTTTATTCTCTCCCGAAATACTGTTTCAAACCCTTTCGCAGGTTATCAGCCGTAGGATTCGTCCTCGGTTGGCACCGCGAACCCCATTTAATAACAACCCTGCAGGCGCCGTTTTCCATAGGCTACTGTAGGAATCACCGAGGATGATAGGTTGCGTCAACCTCCTGAGGTGATTGCAATGTCCGAGGAAAACGCTAGAATCCTAGCCGCCACAACTCGACAGTTTGTACAGATGTACCTGGGTGAGTATGTGCCGGACAATAAGTGGGCTCGTCGCATTCGAATGATCAGGGAGAATATTCCTGATCAGATGCCAGCAATGCCTGGCCCGCAGGTAGGAATCCGGTGGCTCGCTGACACTGGGTGTCCTTTCGACTTGGTTGGGATGCACGACATCCCCACCCAAGATCATCGCCATATCAAGAATGGGCGAATTCAACATTCACTGCAAACCGCCAATGGCGTTGCTGGGACCCAAGGTCGGGTCGATGCAACTGTTGAATCGCTTGACGAGGACATTGAAGCCTTCGTCATGGGTAATACACCCTCCATCATATCGATAGGGCGGATTTTGGATACAGTTTTAGGTGATGCCTTCGAGGTGCCTATTTTAATCTGCCCATCCGGCAGAACTGTGAAGCTCGACGTTATAAACAACGTCCCATACCTGCCTAAAGGGCCGGTCATGTTTGGAGCCCCAAACCTAGACGCATGTCCTGCGATGCCGGCGATGCCCGGACCAGTGCTTGCTCTGAACGATGAACTGTACCCCGCAGCTCCCTCTGAGGCCGACGCGCCTGACGAGGGGGGTGAGGTTGTTGAAATCAAGCACCCTGAGGGGTACAGAACTGAATCTCAATTGCGTGCCGAAGCTAAAACGCTTCAGCGCATGATGACACATTTACCAAAGAATCCTTTTTGCACGCATTGCCAACGCGCAAAGATGGAAAACGTGCGTTTGCATCGCCGTGGCGGTGCTGACGCGCATGAATGCAAGAAATTCGGTGACATTGTCACCGTAGATACAATGGTCTTGCACGGTTTAAAAGACCGTGGTGTCAATGGTGAAACCGACGCAGTCGTGTTTTATGATCTTGCGACCAAGTACATAGATGTACTGCCCGTGTTTAGTCGATCTGTACCTAATACGGTAGAGGCTTTTCACAAATTTATGGGTCCAGAACCCAAGATTGGTCTGTTATACTCAGATCAAGCCAGGGAGTTTCTTGCTGCTACTCGCCGAATGGCCTGGGTACACCACATGTCCACACCTGGAATGCCAAAGACAAATGGAATTATCGAAAATAAGGTGAAGCTTGTACTGCATGGAGCAAGGGTACTCCTCAGACAAGCCGGCTTATCGCCCAAGTGGTGGCCATTTGCCGTTCGCGCATTTTGCGCTGCCAGGAATCTCGAAAATCGAGGTGAAGGAACCGCACGGGGAAGAAGAAACGATGACAGGAATTTTCCCGGTCAACTCATCCCATTCGGATGTCTTGTCGATTTCAAGCCAATCGCGCCTCCGAACGGGACGATCATCACAAAGCTGATGAAATTCCCACCAAAGACCACTGGATCTTCGATGAAGAATCTGGCAAACTCGTCAGAGTGCACGTTGAACCAAGAACAAAGCTGTTCAAAGCTGACAGCGTAGGTGCTCCAATCGAACACATTCGTCTCACCGCCGACCGTGATACATGGGTTCAATACGATGAGGAGAATGGTGAAATGATGCACTCCGTAGACTGGAGATACGGTCCGGATTCCACTAAGGAGCTAAAAGCTCCGTGGACTGGCAAGACATATTCCACTGTAAAGCCAAAAGAGTTTGACCCTCTTGAGGACTCTGATTACGAGCCCGAAGGAGATGACGAACTAGCTGACGAATCAGGGCCGTCCGACCACGAAGAGGACGAATATAGCAATGTGCCAGCCATGCCGGCGCAGAAAGTTGACCCTGCTTCCAAGGCGCCCAAATTCGGGCCAGTATCGAAACCTGGAATTTTCCTAGGTTATCGATTAGAGCCCGGAGGTCAGTGGAAAGGCGACTACTACGTTGCCGATCTTGAGCACTTCCGAAACGGATTTTCCCGACCCAGTGTTCACCAAGTCAAGAGAATTTGGCGGAACCCTGGGGAAGGTTACGTTTTTCCCATGCTAGCTGCCTACGAGCGTTTGACTAGGGAAGTCCAGCTCCTAGACACGGGAGAAGGGAAGGGCCTTCCCAAAGCGGATGCCCCTGCCGAATCGGACAACCAGCTCGGCGCTGATGATCCGGGTTCTGGCCAACTTAGTGATGACAATATCGGTGTTGATGCTGACCCCGATGCACCTGCCGAGGCTCCCAAAAGGGATCATTGGGTGCGTGATGAAGAATCGAAGTCTTGGCATAGACATCATGTCGATGCTAGGCAGGCCTTCTTTGGGGATGACTCGTCTCCACTGCCTGGCCCGTCTCAAGCAGACGTAGATGACTATCGGGTCACTCACTTGAAGTACCTTGACTCTACGCAGCAATGCATCCGTGATGATAGAAGAGTCCTTTATCCAGGACACCGAATCAGAACTCATAGGTTCTGGACTGGCGTGACGATTTTGTATGAGAAAGGGCATGCCCCTTCTAGGGCTCCGAGGGTCACGCTGACCAAATTCAAAACTAGGCTCGACAAAGTCGAGGACCTCGATGCAGGTGAGCCTAAGGCTCACACCTTACACGGCGACGAGCTCGATTACGACCAGAAGGTTGAAAGAAAGGAGAGGTCCTATTCTGGATCTGGCAAACCCAACTCCATTTCGTCTACCGACTGGAGAGGTATGTCCGTTAACATGCGTAGGATATACATTGAGGCTGAGAGGGAGGAAGCTCTGAAACGAGCGCGTGCTGGCAAAGCCGCACCTTCCAATCCAGCTGGGCCCGCTCTCGTAAAGCGAAGAGTGTTGATAGAATTTGCATGTGAACCTGACTCTAAGCTCTCCGCCACTATGCTGGAACAGGGGGGTGACGCAATTCGCGTGCATAAAGAGTCGTTCGACATTTTGAGAAACAAGGATATGACCAGGCTGATAGAAATAGTCGACCAGAATCCTGGGTGTGACTTATGGGGTTCAATCCCATGTGGGCCGTGGAGTACTTGGCAGTATGTTAATCTGTCGCAATACGGTCCCGAATTCGCTGTTGAGCTCAATGAAGCTAGGCGTACATCGATGGTCATGTTTGCTGCCTTCCTCCGTGTCGCCAAACGCGTGCGTTTTAAAGGAGGCACTGCCTTGGATGGAAACAGCCGTTCATGAGGCGTCTACTCGACGATCCCGACATCAGGTGTGTCGATGTTGACGGTTGCGATTTCGGAATGCAAACATCCGATGGTGTTCCCATCAGGAAGCAATGGCGAATCGCCACTTCTTGCCCAGAACTAGCCAACGAACTACGTGGGCGCACATGTAGCCATGAAACAGTTTACCCCCACGCCAGGATCGAGGGAAGCCTTACGCCCTTAACTGCACGATATCCTATTGGGATGTGTAAAGCTGTAATTAAAGGTCTCTATGGAGATAAGCCCTATGCGGCAGCCCCCGCTACCTTGAGTGGACAGGACGATGCTCCTGCTGCGCCGGTTGAGGTTGCGGAGGCCGATCCGTGTGCATGGAGACGGGACAAGGATGCCTTGCTCGTCCACATCATGAGTGATTACGCCACTCTTCCCACTCGGCAAACGCCTGGATCTGCGGGCTTGGATTTAAGCTCAAGTGAAGAAGTCACGGTTCCTGCAAAGGGAAGTGCCCTTGTGCGAACTGGATGCGCCTT